TATTTAGTTTTTCTAATAATATAAATATGTCAAATACAAATCAAATATAAACGTTAAAAATTTTAAGCAAGCAGGGTATGAACATATATGTGAAAACTAGTCTCACGCTCGAGCTGAACATGAAAACATATGATTCGACCAAACCAAATCAAAATAATTACATACTCGACTTTGCTGAGCTCGATTACAATCCTATAAGAGATATTGCTATTAATGAGGTTAGGATATGATAAAATGCTCAAATATAAACACACTAGCAAATGTGACCTGAAAAAACAAAAAAAAGCTTTCCATTAAAAAGCTTTATGAAAAATAGGAAATAATAGCAAAATTACTATCCATTTATTTGTTTAACATTTAAAATTTATTTTTTATATTTATATCACACAATTCTTTAATACAATATCAAAATTATCTACTTTTTTTTTAACATTTAAAGTGTGAAATAAATAGTTTCATTCCATGGAAAAGATGACATTATGTAAAAAATCGAAGTTTTAAGTGTTGGTTATGTAAATACGCAGGAATAGAGGGGTGAATATACAAATCTCTCAGATGCATTCGAGGCTTCCAACAAACCCTAATAACCCAACAATGCCGTGGTCGTCGCCTTTTTGGGATCTCTTTTCCTCCGTTGCTTAGTTTCGCCAGTATTCCTTCAAGGGATTAACGCTATGATTTCACTTGAGATTTTGAAACTAACACTCTTCAGAATGATATCTATTCGTCTCATCATTTCCCCAATTGTGCCTGTTTTGAAGTACGTTCTTTTTCTTTTTTTCTTTTATGGAGATCATCTGAAGTGGAGAAGGTGTTGGCTTTCCCATTAGTTTGAGCCTTCGTATGCATTCTCAATGTGTCCGCCATTGGATTTCTCCAAATTCGCTTGCCTCTGTATTTGGTTCTTTTCTGTTCTTTGTTGGATTTATAACCTTTATTATATGTGATTCTCTTTATAAATTTTGATTTGATTTATTTTTTGTTTTTTTGGTTTTTGAGATGTTGGAAATTAGGGAAGGGGTGGCGTCGATGACTTAGGGAACCCTCCACTCCCTTAGAATTACACGATCATTTCAACTCTATAGGTGCAACTTCTCTGTTACATACTTAACATAGTGTTGTAAATCAGTTGGAGGAGTTGTATACTTCACTGTTACTGATGCTGCTTATGCAGTTTATAGTATCAGTTATTCAGTATGCTGCTTTTTTCGAAATCTGTTATGTCTGAAAAACTCTGAACTATGACCTTCATTATTTTTCATAATTTTTGCTTGAGCTTGCTGTCTAATGGTCTAATTTACTGTTAGGAAAGTTATACTGGCACTTATTTGATTCTTGGCAAAAGCAAGAAATATATGGGTGTTGCTTATTTTAGTGTTGAAGCAAAATATCACATCTTGCAGGGAAATCTTTTGCATGTGATTACTCACAATACTGTTCATGCAAGTCCCTCTGTTTTACATTGTAACAATTTAGCGCAATTGCAATTGCTCGGAATGATTTCTTACGATGAATGCATATTCATATTGAGACTAATTGTATTTTTTGGTCTATTTTTTCACCAATACCCATTCTTTAGGACATTTTCATTAGTTACACACCATTATTGAAGCTGTGCTTGTCTGTTACAGGATTTCCTAGGAAAAAACAAAGGCTTTACCCATGAATTCTCTTGATTTTTCATGTTGTTCATTCCTCCAAATAATTTTTTTTTTTTTGCATTTATTATTATTTGATGTCTGTTTTAATTTAAATGTGAATTGGGTATGAGACTTCTAGTATTAGCCTGCTTATCCTTTTGCATGGATGGTGGCAGGTTATATAGCCATTCCCTATATGGATTGATGCCATTAAAGCCCTGATCCACGGTAGTTTTCTCCATTACGGTTAGGGTTACGCTGGTCTCTATATTTTTTTCTTTTTTATTACAAATTGCTTTTTTTTTAATATCTTATGCTGTGCATCTTTTGCTCTGGTAATTTACACCAAAAAAAGGGTGGCGCTGATGACTGATTTGATTTCTCGATTCTGAAATTTTTACCTAAATTATATATATATTTAGGTGGACCTCCTGATGAGTTTTTATGCGTGTCTGAGCCATCTTTGTTCTCGAGTTAAAAGGAAGAATTGTTGAAAATTGGAATTTTTATTGTGTTTCAGAACTTTCTGCTCCATGCAAATGAGTTTACAGATTCACTCAAATAGATATTTCCATATGCTTTTGCCGTTTTTCAAAAAAGAAAAAATTGAGGAGATCTACGTATTCTTTCTTGACTATTGTTGAATATTGCTTGTTTTTATTCAATATTTCATGTCACCATCATATTGAGTCGTATGTCTTGATGATAAAATGAAGCATTAAATTGTTTTCTTAAGAAGTATTCAAAGTTAAGAGCAAGAATTTATCTGTAGAACGAGTTCAATAAATTTGTGGCCATGAATTGTTGGTGGTATTAATGATGTGGCATGCAGGGAGTTAATTCAGTCATGATTCATAGAGACTAATTTCATAAGCGCATTGATGGATGATGCAGCTTGAAGGAGTCGAAGCCATAATTCACATATATTAATATTTAGTTGAATATATAGGTTGATATTATTCAGTTTTTTTTTATTGAGGTATGGATTGGTTGCTTATGTTTTTTATAAAAGTTTTCAGTGTTTCAATTATCGTTTTCCTATGCGTTTAATTATGGGCATAAATCAATTGCTTGCCAGAGATTTTTGCATATTTTCTGTTGCTTGTGGCCTTTCTCCCACACGTCTGTAATGTAGTAAAATCCAATGTATAGTAATTTCAAAGATGCTTAACTCTCTGTCTAGGAGTATTAACTTTTTTTTCTTCAATGAATAATCTATTGAGAACAGTAACAAAGTTTTAGCATGTAGTACATTGCCTTCTCTTTCAAGGGATATATGATTTTGTATCTAATGTACAACGACAACTACAACAATAACAACAAAACCTTTATCCCATTAAGTGGGGTTGGCTACATGAATCCTTTTTCTCCATTGTGTCCTATTTAGTGTCATGTTTTCATTTAATTCTAATAAATTAAGACCATTTTTTATACAATATGCCCAAGTCATCGTAGGTCTACCTTTGTCTTTCTTAACATAACTCGAATTTAGAACATCTACTCTTATAATCAGATCGTCAGGATGGTCGACGTTTGATGTGACCAAATCATGTAAGACAACTCTCTCTAATTTTGTTCATCACCGGAGCTACACCAACCCTATCATGCATCTAATGTAATGTGTATAAATTTAAAGTTCAAACTTGAACGTTTTCTTGATTTACCTATATGAATCTGGTAAGCTGGGAGCCCTAAGACCTCTTTTCAAGCACGGTAAAATTCATGAACTTTGACTCACAATTTATCGCAATGGTTGGAGTTTTATTAGTTCGGAGGAATAAAATTTGATTTATTTCATTTTCAAATGTTAATTTGTTCAAAAGTTATTTAATTTCTTGCCCGACCCGAGCATCTACCAGAGCCATTCCGTTATTTATTTTGTTTAAATTAAATTTAATTTAATTTAATTATTAGTTTATTATTGTAAAAAGAAGAAAGAGTGAATAATGAAAAGGAAGAAAGAAGAAACATCACTCATTTTAATTTTAAAATGACTTTTTCAAATAAGGGCAAAATGTTTATTTATCCAAAAATAACTACTACGCAAATATTTTTAAATAGTTGAAACAAACAATCAACTAACTTCCCATCAGCAGTTTCCCCTAAGAAGAAAGGTGTCCAATTAAGATTATTAATAATTGCAGCCGAGCAAAAAAAAAAAAATATGGATCTGCCAACTGAGATAGTGAGGCTCTGTTTGGGGCAGCTTAAAAGTGCGGCGGCATTTTCAAAACACCGTCTTTCTGTTGGAATCGCACATTTTGTTAGTGGTTTTTAAAATGGCGTATTTAATTTCTTAATAAACACGAGGCGCGGGGTTGACCTCGTGTCCTATGTTTGTTCGGGCCGCGAACAGGCGGATTTCTGATAGGAGCGGAGCGCAAGGATGAAGATGAGAGTTTCAGTGGTCTATGTAAGCCGCGATCCCGTCGTTCCCTTCCCAGGTAGCCGCGATCCCGTCGTTTCCTTCCTTGAGACGAGCAATTTAACTCTTTAACTCTTTAAATCTTTCGTTCTCTTCCCTTCAATAATTTTGTGAGTCATTGATCGTTGCTTTTTTTTTTTCTTTTTTTTTATGGGAGAAAGAGAGAGAGTTCATGGCTGCTCTAGGCTCTATTCTTTTCTTTTCTTTTTTTCAATCATGTACTAAATATCCTTACATAGGATTTGGCTCAATTTCTTTTGGTTTCTTCTTCCCCTTTTTTGTTTTTTTTTCTCCTTGCATAAGTGTTATTCTACAGGCCACTCACTTTATTTGGTAGTCTGTGCACGAAGGAATCATTGAATTCAAATGAGGTATGAGTTCTCAAATGAGGCATGAGTTTTTGAATGAACGATGAGTTATATTCTTAGTAGATTTGCGTAAAATATCTTCAGTTTATACTTTCTTTTTTTCAATTTGGTTCGGGTTTTATCTCATAAATTTTGTATTGATCAGATTTATAATTGCTAATTGTTTGTATGTATCCAAAAAGTAATTTTTGGCTTAAAGGTTCACCAAATCTTCTCCATAACATTTGCACAATGGCTAAACAATTATTACTATGATAAAAGCATTTTGATGAGGCTTTTAGGGATAAAAAATGAGAAGATTCAAAACATAGATACACTCTTAAAAATAGAATATACTTTTTTGCTTTTGAATTATCGAATATATTACCAAGAGAGTTTTGTTACAAACAGCCGTACTTAACATCGGCAGAATGATCATTTATTCACAAATAGCTGCAAATAAGTTATTTTCAAACAACTGCAAATAAGTTATTTTCAAACAGCTACCCCAAACAGTTGACCAGCTTATCAATATAAACTGCTTATTTGAATAAGTTGGATAAGCTGCAACTGCCCCAAACAGTATTTTTGCTGCATTGGCTAAGGTTTCTCTCTAGCCTATGTTCTCTTACTCGGGAAAGACCAAACAAAAAGTGCTGAGACGCTTTAGTAGTTCTTCAAATATTCTCTAGCTTATGCCAATAATGCAGTCTTCTTATGAAAAATAAACTTATGATGAGGATATTAAACAGTGATCATGAAATAAATTGTTTTTTTATATATGAAAAATAAAATCAAATAAGATTTTTAAAATATAAATATTTTATTTAAAGTTTAAATTAACATTCAGTTCAAACCATTTAAAAAAAACAGTCCTGTACCAACATTTTACTGATGAGCTTGAAACAACCACCCAATGTTGAATGAAGAACAAACATCCCTTTATGATAGCTGAAGATTTTGAGGCAATTGAAGGTGAGATTCTCGTAGTTTTTATTTCTTTTTTTTTCATTTTTTAAACATATACAGAAATTCATAATAAATGCGCAGGCAGAATGATACTCGCAATTCATGATGAAAGAAAAAAAGCCTGCAACTGTTTGTTGAGCATGAGAAAATCAAAGCCTGAAGTGCCAGAAAAAAAGCATGCAACTGTAGTAGAAAACTGGAGTGCATAGCAGTTTAAAAGAAGAAACACATACAGAACCGAATGGATTTCATCCCAAAGTAGTTATGATTTTTAAAACAAACAGTTTTAAACATCAATCAATCAGTCTCTGCTGCAGTCTCCATTCCTCAACTCTTCAGATCAGTCTGCATCATCTTCATCGGTGGTGACGCAGAAGAGACTTAGAGCGAGGGGTTCGTTGATAAATTCACAAAGGTTGAGCCAAGTAGGTCATCACTTTCGTGAGCCTTATGGTTCTCTGCCCGGGGGCTGCTTCCTGCACTGCTGGACAACGAACCAAAGCCAGACTCCTGCAACACTCCTGTGGGCGATGATTCAAATCTAGCCTTGGAGTTCCACCCATCAGTCATGAGGTTCAGAGATGAAGCTGATAAATTGCTACTAAGATCCTTTGGGGTAGTACTGCTCGTGTTGGTCAAAACCTCCCCAAGAGGTCCGCCAATGTTTGGCTCCCACGAAATGGGTATCCAACTTAAACCCCTTTGGGTGCCATCATTCGTAGGATTGAACTCACAAGATAGCCTGAGAGGGGAAAATGACAGCTTGTCTTGGTTGGCGGAGGAGGAGATGGGGATTGAAATGGAGAGTTCAGTTCTGTTTGATTGCTTCTTTTCCATCCCATCAGATGGTGTTTTGGACCAGTCATCAATAAAATGTCGGAAGGGAAAGGGATGGGATCGAGTGTGCTGATCATTCATTTCAGAGTGATAAAAAACAAAACTGAGATTCTCTGAGGAGCAGTTCCCTTCATTATTAAGTACAGAATCAGTTGATACAAGTCCCAAGTCTACACGGGTTGAAGTTTCTTCAAAGGGATTTAGTTGTTTGGACATGGGCAACAAGGTACCTGTGGATTTTGAGTTTACATCAGTCAGCACGGAGAGGCCTTTGGCATCTTGTCTTTGTACATTTGTATTGTCTCTGTTCATCAGTAACCTGCGAGGAAGAAGCTTTGAGAAAATGAGAATCTGCTTTGAGGCTACTACTATGTATTCCGAGAAGAGAAAAAGAAGAGAAATTGTAATGGATCTCAGAATCCAAATTAATTGTTACAATGAACTTCGTAGGACCCTTTGCAAAGAATCAAACGAAGAAAAAAGTTCATGAATTCAAAGAACAGAGAACTTTAAAATAACCTTTCCCTCAGGGAATTTTTATGCCTGGAGCCAACGTTAGCAGCACATAATGGACCACTTGTAACTTGCACTAACACGAGAATAATTGTTGAAATGTTATAATTGGTCATATGAAAGCCCACTATTCATGTTTTCTAGTTACTAGTGCCTCGGTTCATAACTTCGAGGACAAAAAGAATGAGTTCATCAAACATCACTATATGAGTCAAACTTTTAGCACAAATTTGTTATCCCCACTTTTTATTATGAGACTTGCTGGTCCGTAGGGCACGCTTAATGACATTAAATAACAGCTGTTATGCCCTACAATGACCACCAAAAATAAGCCAGAAAAAGAAATATATATGAAAACTTGAAGAAAAATAAAATCAGTGAAACATAATCAATAAAGTTTTTTCTAAAATTTATGAAGCAGGCAGAGAAAACTATAGTTACGATAAATCAGACAAGGCTGATTCAAACTCTACGTTCTTTTGATTCAGCGTTTAAGTTTGAATCAGACTTTTGGCCACACTTCCTGAAACAAGATGGTAAAGTCATTCAAATTCAAGCTTTCTTGACTGAAACTCGAAGTTCAGAAAAATAATTAAATGAATAAGTGAATAAAGATTGAAACGTTGTTCAGTAAGCGTTGATATATTACCTATCCAATTGCAGAGATGAAGGTTCCGTGAAGCTTGGTTGTATGTTTTTGCTCTGCTGCTGAGCCACGGCGAGATTATTAGAAGAACCACCACTGGAAAGAGCCGATGCCGATTGCGACGAAGTAATGGCAGCAGGCACAGCAGCCTTGGCAGCATGGCCATTGTGGCCTTCCACACGCTTTCTTGAACGATGGCGACCACGGTTCATGTGTCGCTCGCAGTACTTCTGATCCACAACTGCATCCCTCGAACACCGCCATTTTTTCCCATCTGTTCGACGGCATCTGCCAGGCTCCGGATCAGCACTTCCAGCCAAACCCAGATGGAAATTTCCCCATCCCACTGCAATACACCACCTCATTGTAAGCAACGCTTGTTCATGTTTTAATGCCTCTGATTTTCAGAGAAAATAAATCACAAGAGTTCGAAAAAGCTTAAATTAATGGTAATCAACTAATATAGTAAAGTCTGTGGGAACAAAAGAAAGCAACACCTTGTTAAAAACAGCTCATATTTTGAAATAACAGAGGCTTACATGTGCCTGCTGGTCTATAAGTTCCAGCAATGAAGGAAGACAACCCAGAAGGGTTGATGCTTCGTCTGATTGACAAGAGCAAATTAGATGGTAATGGAACTTTTGCATCAATATATTTGTAGATCAGAGTCTGTTGCTCCAGTTCTGACCACTGAGAAGTGGTGAAGGGTCCACTGATCTCAGACACAGCTCCTTGAATGTTAAGGGTTGGATTGCCAGAGCACGCTCCTGAATAAGAAGGTTCATAGACATAAGCATAATAATTACCTACGGTCTTAGACTACTTAAACCATATATAATTATATATAGCATTACAGACAGGTTCAAAGACTAATGAACGGGAGTCAAAATATATTGACATAGACCCTGTAACGTGAATTGGAAGAGAGACTAAACCCCTCAATGATCTTTACTATTTGCAGCTGCTTTTGAGAATCATACAAGCTGCCTACATATGAAATAAGTTCTTCGGCTTTATCCTTTCGGTCTTGAAAACAAATTTTACGAAAAAAATAAACAATATTTCCCTTTCCTTATTTTGGGGAATCCAGCCCACCCAAAACTCCAACTTTTGAGGACAAGACCATCGGGTATGTAGGAAATAAAGATCCAGATTTTATTAAAAAAAATCTCTCTTTTTTCATTTTGACAAGACCTAAACCAAAGAGCAGAAACACCCCATGGAAAAGACGCCTCCACCTATCAGTATCACTTGTAGAGACAAAAACCAGCACCACGCCTTTTATACAACCTAACTACCATACCTGCATTCCTGAAAGTAGGGTAAGCTGAAGATGATGAAGGATGGTTGAAGGAAGGTGAGTTCCAATGATTATTGAGCACCAGAGCATCTGATTTCCATGAAGAAAAGTTCAGCATTTGCTCTCCATCAGGGAAGAGGGAGTGAGAGCCGGATCCAAGGAGGCAAGTTGCCGCCTTGCTTGTTGATGTGAGCATTGGATCCCCTCTAGCCGTCTTCAAACGAGTCCAGTACTCATCATCCTCCTCAACCACGACAGATCTTCCATGCTTGGAGAAACTGGATTGAAACAGCCCCCTTTGCTTGCTGGGTTCGGAGTCCAAGGGAAAAAAGGAGGGGATGAGAACATTGGGGTCAGACGAGACAGGGACCAAGCCATCCGTGCTCAGGGAACAACCCAAGTCCATGTCTAGTTGGAGCTGAAATGAGATTTTGAAGGGATGAGGAATGGAAATGAGAGAGGAAGCTGCTGGTGAAGGAGATGCATTTCTATGTTGTAGTGTTTCCAAAGCTATGAAACCAGTCTGGTTTTCTTATAGCAGTTCATCTATTCTTCCAAGTAAATAATTGTGGAAAGGTGATGTCACATATCAATACTGCATAGAATATTAGGCACATAAATACACATTTATAAAAAAACTATAAATACATTATCTTTCATTTTTTTGTATTTTTATATGCTTCTATATTTTTTCTTCTCATTTAGTAATACCTTTATAAATTCATAGGTTTCAAAAAATTCAAGAAAATTTTATATTTTATATTGACATTTAAAATTGGATATCTCACTAAAAAAAAAGTCTGACATGTCTTTAATGATAATCTTTTTAAATTTTAATGATTACTTCTTCGTTTAAAAAAAATTTTTGGTTTTAGCTGTAAGTGTATGCTGTATAATGCTGTATATTTTCTCTCTCTTTCAAAAATCTCCAAAATATTAAAACGATAAGGAGTTTAGATTCTTACCATCTAATTCTAATATATATATATGTATCCAAATATATATATATATATACAACATTTTAATTTTTAAATCATTTAAAAATATCACTAGTATCAATTTATTTAAAGTGAAATGCATTTCTTTTAAAAATATATTCTGATGTTGTATGGATTCTAGGTTCATGATGGAAGTAAGTAAATAAATTTAAGTACTTGAATGTATAGATGCTAATGGGTATAAATGTAAATTTTCCTACAAGAAGATGATTTTAAAATGGAGATGGTGCCGTTAACTTTTTCTTATTCTTTCTCATTCATTTTTCCTCAACATATAATCATAGATATGTAAATAGTCATAAATATAACCAAAAGCAAACATTATTTTATATCAAAAGTCAAATAAATTAATATCAATCATCTGGAGATCAAGTTGTTTGAAAATCCAGTTGTAACCTGCACATGGGGGGTATCAAATATCACAATAAACAATCAAACATGTTTGGGAAAGTTAATTTAGAAAAATATAGAGGAATTCACATGTATACCACACATTTCCTTTGTATTTATATATCCCGCATCTAAACTTACATATTTACACACATAATTTTTATATTTTTAATATCACATCAAAAAGAGCACAACTACACATTTTCATTCATATGTTTAAAACAATATGTATAATATTTGTAAATATAAAAGAATCATGTGCTGTAATATACATGTCAAAACATTTGTCAAGTAGTAGTAAAAGGCTATTTTAACATTTACATCTAAACTTCATTTATTACATCCATAACCAATTTTCTTAGAGATGACATTCATATGTTACAATAATTGCAATTTTAACCATTTTACCCACCTTGTAAATAACTTCTAAAGCTTCAAATAAGCTATATAATGATAAAAGAGAAGTAGTCATTTACTGGGCATGTGAGGTGCACGTGATGCTTAAATTTTAATCTTGCTTTTGTGCCACTCACCATTTGATATTACAAAAGAGAACAGTGCCATAAAATTAAATTCTTTCTATGAACAGCACGTTCATTATTTAGTCCCATATTTTAAGGGAACCGATAAACCCACGACCCACGAAGAGGTAAAAAAACAGACCTAATACATTTATTTATTCATTTCCTTTTCGGAATAAAGAAAATAAATGACATGATTGTTTAATATTAAAAGCTTTCGTGCATTTAATATGAATATATCGTGCTGAAGAAGCTATTATTGAAATATTTTTGGTGAAATGAATTATGTAAATGGGAATGAGAAAGTGGGCACTGGCCCTCTGAGTAGTAGCCGAGATAGCGTAGCTATCATTATCAGTTGATCTGAGTTGGGAAACTTTTGGTTTGACTTTGACCAGAACCACCAACTCATCCATCCCTTCTAATTTTAATTGGCATGCAGTTTAGAGCAATTTGTATTCTAAATCTTAAAACTAAATTTAATTAGTAAAAGGAAAGTGAGGCCTTCCGCCAAACATATTTAGAAATATTGTAATCATGTGCCTCGGGTTGCGTGCACCTGCAGCCTTATCGCTTAAATGATGCAATAATTTTTTTTTTTTTGGTTAGATGAGTAAAATTATAAATATATATATTATATATATATATATATATACATATAATTCTAGAAACTAAAATAAAAGACTCGGCCTACACATAAAAGATCTTGAGACTTACATGTCCCATTGAGTGAATCTGCCCGAGTTGAGTCAGCAAGACTAAAGCTAACATAACCACAAAACACGGCCAAATAATGTAAGAACAATCCACTAGATAAAAATGAGACAAAAGGGTATCAAGCTAACCACCAAATGAGAGTAGAACTGTTGAATCAAAATTTGTCTGGTAGGTGTGCCCGAGGAATAGTGTTAGACCGAGCAAGTATGATAGAGGAGAGAGAGAGAATGAGAAGAGGAAGACATCCTTGATAGGGTGAAATGAGTTGTTCCCGAGCTCTCCACCTCATTTTAGGATATTGAATCCAAATCTGCCCAATAGGTCATGCCGAAATAATAGGGCAATTGACCGAGGAAAGATGATCGAGAAGAGGGAGAGAATTGAGACAGAGAAAAAGAGAGAGAGAGAGAGAGAGAGAGAGAGAGAGAGAGACTTCCTGCGACTCATGAAATGGGGTGTTTCCGAACTCTCCAACCCATTTTTATTCCCTAAAACCATTTATTACAAGTGAGAGGAGCCAAATGTCCCCCCATACATCATAAAGCCCTATTATTTATAGAAGATAGGAGGGACAAAAAAAATGAAAATTACATACTTAGTCTCACTTTAAATAGGAAAGCAAAGAGCATTTTTGTCCCTTTATCGTGTATCGTCAGATTGATCGAGATTTGTGCAGATCATTTTTTAGTATACATGATCCAATGCAAAATTTAGTTCTTTAACAAGTGCAACCATCTCAAGGGCGCCCATAAACCTCTCACCAGAGATCAAGTTTCGACAACCAAACTAGATCAGCTGATCAACACACCGACCAAGCCCTAGAAGACGAACTTAATTCCGCCATCTCACACCAACTAGGGTTTAGGGTCCATACAACCAGCACAAATGCAATCAAGCTTAGCGGACCAAGCTAGAAAGAAACTGTACAACATTCTCGTATATATAAAACATCAGAAATAACATAATGCAGAGTTCTTTAAAGTATGAATAAAAATATAACATCATTATATTATATCATCTCCTTTTATAAATAAGTAAATTGTCTAATGAATAAGATACAGTGTATTATTATTTATTATCCCGTACTTCTCTTTTTTTTTCTTAATTACATTCTATTCATTAAGTATGTGATTCACGGATTAAATATATATAAATATTGAAATTTGAATGAATCTTAATTATTAACACCATGTTTAAATGTTATGCAATCAATTATTGTATTTAATAATAATAATAATAATAATAATAATAATAATAGTAGTAGCATGAGTTACCTAACATATATTTACCAAGATTCCATTTCTTTTAATTGGTCGGTGGGTAGGAAATGGTGAAGCTGGATGATAGCGATAGAGATTTATAATATATTCCCAAAATAGTTTTCCCAATCAGCTTCTGGGCCCAAAATGCATTTTATTTCATTTTTTTTAAATTTCTTCTTAAAAGTAATTTTTAATTAATGAATAAAAGAATTATTAAATATTTCACCTCAAATTCACCGTTAAATTTTATTTTAAAACTTTTTTTTCGGCTTGGAAATAGAAAGCGAAATGCTGGTTGGAGGCAGGAAAGGACCGGAGCCTGCGGGGTGGTCCATCAGTAAAGCGTGCGGCCAAGATCAGATCAAGCAAAACAGATGGACGGTGTGATGGAGCCTGTCGGAAGGCCCAAGCATCGATCGAACGGGGACCACTTCGCACATGCATGCGGGGACCACCTATTTTTTGTTGGAGTAAAACAAACATAAAGTTTACAATTGTAGTATCATCCCCCCACCCCAACAAATACATGTCACGTGACTTGAGAGTGACTTTTTTACTTCGGTAGCTTCAAAATCTCGGGAACAAGGCTCAAATATTATAATCATATTTACTTTTTTTTTTTTTTCACAGCATTATCCACAAGAGTTTATCAAATGAAGTTCAAAAGAATTTAACACATTTACAATCATTGAAAAATATTTACAATAGTTTTGGGCCATAACAAAAAAAATTCGTTAGATTTATAGTTAATATCAAATCTACGGAAACTTATACACCTCCAATAAATTTTCATTGTGGTGTATAAACATCGACGCATGAAATGGATCTTGGTGTGATTTTTTTTAGCAAAAAATATTCAAACCTCGATAAGAAATCAGAAGAACTCTGATTTCAATAAACTTATAGTCAAACTGATCGGTTCGACAAGAAGAACCCAATGTTATCAAAGTTGGTCCAATCTGAATAAAATCAAGGCTAGATCAAGCTATTAAATCACTTTTGAAAGTTTTTTGGAGGCATTTACAAGGTCAAACGAATGTTAATTCTGACGAACCTATAGTCAAATCGAGTGTCTTGACAACACGAATCCAACAAGCTCTATGTCACTTAATTCTGATATCATTAAGGCTTACTAATATTCATCAAATGACGTCCGATCGAGGGAAGCCCTCAGAGTCATCCGATAAAAATGATTCATATTCTTATATTAATTACACCCATAAATAATAAAGTCTCTCCCCTCTCATGAAGGAAGGAGGAGAGCTTGGGACTTGAGAAATAACTTGAAGCTTTGAAAATAAATTGAAGTCCAGCACAGCTCCTGCCGCAAGCAACCACTGTCAACCGCCGTCAACCCCCACCAACCGCAGCGGACAACATTAACTGTCGTCGAGCATCGCCGACAGCCGTCGACCATCGCCTACAACCGTCGATCACCACCGACAGTCGTTGCTCACTGCTAACCATCGTCAACTACCACCGACAAGAAGTTGTCAATCACTAGCAATCAATGTTATAACTCGAGAAACCTAGTAACTTTTTTCCCACCTGTGGGACAAGTGATTGCAAATGTAATCACTTTTCTATAGCATGGCTCTTCAGCTGGATCATGTCCCGTGATTTTTCACTCTCTAGCATTATTAATTATTTTATATTTTCTGAGTGTGTG